TCTTGGATGTTGCTTCATCTAATGATGTAACATTATTACAAGTCAAATTACAAAGTCAATCTGCGCAGCTCAATAGTCAGGATTATATACAGATCTATTGAGGGCTTACTAGTTTCATAACTCCAAACTCACCAATCAAAACAACTTAGCATGCCGTTAATCATAGCACGCACATCAGTTTTTATTACGCCTAGTAAGACAACAAAACCACGGAGACATTGAGTCATATTTCCTTACTTTAGTTCAATTAAGATCTGACCTAAAGTCTCCAAGACTTTCGGCTCATCTAAAGAATAGGATTACATTATTCACAATTGAACATCTCTACTAAGTCTAGGTCAACCAAATTAACTTTCATAAGCTAAGTCAATTTAGAGGGAAAAAAATGCGCATTTAGATTAATTTGATTAGCATAATATAATTTTTCTGCAAAAATTTAAATGAAAATATTACACAAGTTGCAAGATCAAAAATTCATTATGCTTGTAATCATCTCTTGCGTCACAAGTGACAATTATCCAAAATTTAATTTAATTTATGCACAAAATATTAGTTTTTGGGAGTAAATCTACAAATATTTCTCTCAACCAAACAACCTCCCACTAACTATGGCATGTCTAAAGCATGATAAAATATTTAATTCCACATGATAATATCTCAATATAATTCATAAAAGAAAATATGCTAGAATATTTAATCATGGAATTCCATCATGAATGACCCACAACCACCGTCGACCGTCTGCTGACCATCGAAACAAGCGAACAAACACTCACCGATGAACGCCAAGCAAACAAACACTCTCTTTCTCTCTCTCACTGACTGTCGAATCTCTTTCTCTCTCACCGGCGACCACCTCTTTTCTCCTCTGTTTGTTTTGGAAATTTCTATATTTTTCATTAATTGGTTCCTTGTTTCTTGAATCTAGTCTGATTTTTGTAGATCTAAACTTGTTGGAAATTAGGTTGGGTTTGAAACCCGAATCCAATTAGGTCGCCTGTGGTGGCATGACCTGATTAAAAGAGATTCAAATAAAATAATATATTATATTTCAAGATATGAGATAATTTTGATATAGATAATTGTCATATATTAGATGATAATTATTAATTAGATATTATTGATATGAGATAGACATTATCTGGGATAATGAATCTATCCTATAGGTCTCCTAACTCTCTTATATAAACAGAACTTGGATTCCGTATTTCACACAACAAAAATTACACGTTCTCTTTTCCCATAAACCATTCCGCCTTCATACTGTAAATAATGTGGGTAGTTCTCTAGTAGTTCTACTCCACTACTGGGAATTATTTGAAGACATTAATGGAGACACATGATTCACCCACATAATCCATAGATTCGTTTTGAGCATAAAAAGTATGCCCGAATTTGTTTATTTCCGATGTATACTATTTCTTATTTTTCCTAAATTGGTATCAGAGCCATTGTTGGGTGTTTTCGTATTATTTTGTGAATGAATATATGTATAAACATGATTTGTGTATAAAATTTATATTTTTCAAGCCATCACTGATTGTCCTAAATTTCATATATGGTGTAGTCTATATTATTTATAGATTATATCTACAAAGTTTTTTGCAAAAATCGGACTATCAGATTTTGAGAAAAATAGAGATTTATATCCGATTTTCATAATTTTGACTGCATGCTAGTTTTACATGTTTTGTTTTTATGTTGTAAAAATTATATATTTGAAATCTTTATTTCGAGACCTTCAAAACAGTATATTATGGCCTGATTCTAACTTACAATTGATAAGAAAACACAAACCCTAATTTTGGGTGAGAGTGAAAGCCATTGGAGCCATGGGAAAAGAAGGCGAAATTCTTGACGTCATTGTGACACGTGCGGCTAACGTGTGTTGATGTCATCAGTGACTCTGTACTGATATAAGCGCTTTGCAACGTGCTAATGCAAGCCGCTAAAATCAGCTGCTGAGGTAAGCAGTGACACAGGAGCTGAAAATTTTAAGGCTTTGTTTGTTTGTTTTAAATTTAAAAACTACATTAATTGCTTCTATATTATTCGATATAATTCTGATTGAAACATGGCTTATACCGTTGGACTCAGAATTAATTTTTCTACAAGATATTAAAGTTTCAGAATTTTATGAAAAATAAAATATTTTTCATTAATGAAAAATTCAATATTTTTTACGTTAAATTGCTCCTGGGTGAGCATGACTTGGATTTTGGACTTGAAATTTTTACAGTAGACTACTGCTATGTAATCTTATTTACTGGTATAATTTTTGCATTTTTTCATATTCTGTAATACTTATTTTTGATTTTCTGTGTAATTATTAATTACTTGTAATTTTAGAAAATTTCAAAAAAATTGCAGAAATTATAAAAATATGTTATGGCATTATTCAAATACTATATAAAGCATGTTAAGTTCTTTTAAATGATTAGAACTTACAATATATTATTATAGCATGATTTACTTATATCAGTGAATTTTTGTCGTTAGGCAACTAGGGGAGGTTGCCGTTGGAGGAAGGGAGCCACCAACAGTGGTAAGAGTGATGAGGTGTCGATCGTTGTTCTTCTGCTTGGCGTTGGTGTCAATCAACGGTGTTTCTTTGGAGAGAGAGGAGTAAATGAGATAGAACAGAGAGTAAAAGAGACAGAAGAGGAGAGAGGAGCATGGGGGGTTTGGTTTTGTTATGCGTGTGTTTCACGCACAATAGCAACTAGGCCTTAATTTGTAGCAAACTACGCTTGCTCATTCGGGAAATTCGAGGGGCTTGTTTTGTGTGGATGTAGCATAACTCAAATGAAAAATGTTGAGACATGTGTTTGGTAACGTTTACGTTTTCAGTTTATATTTACAAAAATTTTATAAACTGGTTTTTGTTTATTTTTTGTTTATTTTTAGAAAAACATAAACTGCAAACGCGTTTGGTAATTGACAAAATGTTTAAAAAAAATTTAAAATATAAAAAAAGTGAGAAATAGCAAGTGGCGGCAAGTGGCGATGGTGTGAAAAGTGGTGACGGTGGTGGTGGGTAGCTGGTGGCCAGATGGGGGTGGTGGTGGTGGTGGGTGTGGTGACGGTGGTGGTGTGGAAGGATGGGTTGACTGTGGTTGCGGGTGGTGGTGGTGCGAGTGGGTTGGTGGTGGTGGTTGGTAGCGGGGTGGTGGGGTGGTGACGGTGCGGGTGGTAGGTTGATAGCAGATGGGTGGTGGTGGTGGCTTAGTGCGGTTCGCAGTGGCGAATGGGTGGCAAATGGTAGGTTCGTGGTGGGTGGTGCGCGAGTGAGTGGTGGGTGGTTGGGTGACGGTGGTGGGTGGTAGGTGGAGATGGTGTAAGCTAATGACGGGGTGGTGGTGTAGTGGCGGTAGGTGGCGAGTGGGTGGCGGGTAGGTGGTCGTGATAGTGGTGATGGTTGGTGGTTGGATCGGGTGGTGGGTAGGCGGGTGTGGTGGCAGGTGACTGTGTGGTGGTTGTGTGGTGATATGGTGGTGGCTGTGGCTGGTGAGCGGTGGGACAAGTAGGGTGGCGGTGGTGGCGGCGAGCGAATGGATGTAGTGACAGGTGGACGGTGTGAGCGAATGCGGTGCAGATGAGTGGTGACTGGTGGTGGTGGTGGTGGTGGGTGGTGGCGGTGGAAGACGATGGTGAAAAATGGTAGCAGGTGGTGGCTAGTGTTGAGTGGTAAAAAAAAAAAAAAAAACCCAAAACTCAAAACGAAAACACATTTTTTGTGTTTTCATTTTTTAGCCAATTTTATAAACAGAGACCACTGATTTATAAATCAAAAATTTTACCAAACAAGTTTTTATTTAAGTTTTTTAAATTTTTATAAATATAAACAGAAAACTGAAAACATAAATGTTATCAAACGACACCTTTTCATTGAGTTTAATATATTTTTTATTAGAATTAATACATTTTTTCAAAATTAGAGTCGCTGTTGTGCATAGCACAATGCCACTGTTGTACTCTTGATGGGGCTCACTTCGGGTTTCGTTTCAGTAATTCGAGTTGTTTATTTTTTTACAATATATTGAGTAAAACATATATGTAAAAAATCAAATTAATTGAATATCAATAATCCTTTTGTTAAATTATATATTTGTAAAAAATCAAATTGATCAGATATCAATAATCATTTTATCAAATTATAATTATATTTATTCTCTATTCAATATATAAAATAAATAATTAAAATTATCAAAACAATATCTCAAATGAGTCTCATTGAGAGGACAACAGGAACAACTATGTTCCAATGACCCTGTTTGTTTTGGGGTTAAATAGATGGGAGGAGATTAGGATGGAGGTGAAGTTATTTAGTATTGTGTTTATTTGTAGAGTTGTGGAGAAGATTATGATGGATGGGGTGATATGCATGGAGGTTGGAAGGGGAATTGAGATAGAGGAGGTGGAAATAGTACTAGAAAAATAGTGAGAGGATTAGAAATTTTTTTTATTTTTTTTTATATTGAGATTTTTTTTAATTATTAATGTTTATTGTTTATATTTTTTTGTTTATTTTATTAGTTTATATAAAAATAATTTAACAATTCCTATACTAATAACTATCATCAAAACAAACATAATTTTATTTAATCCCCTCATTATAAATTCCCACCATTCTATTTCTGAAAATAAACGGGTCGGTGATCCATCTACAACCCCCATACCAATTCTCACTTTTTAACACTTTCACTTCCACAGCAAATCAACAAAATATATATATATATATATAAGGAAAATGTTTGAGGATCACAATTTTTGTGGCTCAAAATTGTCAAAACGACTCGTTTTGACAATTTTGAAGTTGTTTTGTACTCAAAATGACGTCGTTTTAACAATTTTGAGCCATTTGAATGACAATTTTGAAGTTATTTTGTACTCAAAACGACATCGTTTTAATAATTTCGAACCATTTGAGCCATAAAAATTGTGACCCTCAATCATTGTTGTATATATAATTACAACATTAAACAATGACCTAAGCCAGTCTTCAGCATTTGCCACCACAAATGGGTATGGACACTTTGAGAGCCCACCACGTACATTATTGCGTAGTGATAATCTAATGTGAGTTACAGAGAGAGCACTGAATCAATTTTCCCAGGAAAAAACAAGCATGAGCGCCAATGGTGTGGTGTCGTGTGATAGAGGGCGATGAAACCTGTTCACCACGACACGATAAAGACCTCTTTACCTCAGATGACTCTCCCCAATTCACCAACATACTACACAAAACACAAACCCTAGAAATTTTCTCTTGAATAATCCTCAACCATGGATCAACTCAATCACGAGTCCTTTTGCCAATCCATTCAACCCCCAAACCCTTCCGTCACTGAGTTTCTAGCATCTCCTCCAATTCCTCTCGCTCCTTCCATTCGATGCCATTCTGATTCGAGGTTTGCCCCATTCTGATTGCACTGCGAATCTTTAATTTCGTTTCGTTTCGTTTCGATTCGTTTCGTTTGTTGTTTCTGATTCTATTGTGCTATGTAGAAGTTGAATTTGAAGGATTGTGTGAATTAGACTTTTGCATACTTGTGTTGTGTGATAGTTAAATTATGGATTGATGATCTCAATTGCCATTCCCAACCTGAAGGAAAAAGAGGGGGAATTTGTAAAAAGGACCGTTGCATTTCATGATTGTTTTTAGGTTTTATTAGTCTGGGTTCTACCACAGGGATTTGCCTAGTTTATACATCATTATTGCTTTTTCTATGTGACTTAGAAAATTATAATTTTAACAATGGTACAGTTTTATGGTAGAAATATGCATAAAATTTTCCTTTAATGCAGTGTTTGGTGCTTTCCCCCGTGTACTTTATCGACATTTTAAGCGTACTAGATAGATTGTATTTGAGATAGTATGCTGAATTCTAGGTGAAGAGCAGTGGGCTCTAGATCGTAGATAGTATGCTATTTTTGCTTCATAAGCTGTTATTAAAAGCTACACCAAATAGACTGATACAAATAAAAGAAATAAAAAAAGGACAACACCCAATTAATACACAATAATGTGTGCTTGGGAGGGGAAAGATTGAGGACACGTCTAACCTTTGGTATAATGCACAAAGTGATGGTCCCAAGACTTGAAACCATAATCTCAAGGTTATTAGACCAAGTCTTAACTATTGAACCAATTGTCACCCCTACCAAATAGACTGATACAGATTCTCAAAATAAAAAATGCTATAAGCAGCTCTATAAGCTGCACTAAACATTACCCAAATGCTTCATTCAAAGTTTACTCTTCTTCAATGTTCCACGTAAAAAATAGATTCATGGCTCATTAAAAATATAGATTCATGTCACTGCATGTGTCTTAAGGTGTGTATGATCAGCAGGGGCAACTGGAAGGCAGGATACACTTTCCAAGATATGTACTTCACTAATGTGAAACATGTCATGCGCATTACTTATTGAGTAATGCTATACATAAACAAATTTCTTACTCAATTTTCTTACCACTAGACACAAAAATAATGGGGTTCACTGTAATAAATTTCTAGTGGTCTATTTTACATGGACTCTTCAAAATAAATCAAATACCCGTGTCGGACCTCCGACGCTTGGACAAAGGTATGAGATATGTGTCAGATATTTTTCAACGGACATTTCTTATATAATTATATATAACACTATTATTATATGTACATATTATTGTATAATTGCTATAAATATCAGTTTGACATTGTAAGTTACATATAGTACCATTTTATCTCACATACCTTATTTAAAATATTAAAATAGGACATTTTTTGCGGAGTCTGCGTACTCTTAAATTCATGATTTGATGAGTCCAACCTCTAGATATATATATCCGCACCCAACATTTGTAACCGAGTCCACGTAACATAGCTAGTGGTAAAAATATTAAGGAAGAATTTGTTTATATGTAACATTTTTGCCACTTGTGATTCGTTGAATTGCACTCTAATTAACTTTCAACTTCTTTATGCACTGATGAAGTATTTGTTTTATTTTTATGTCTGTTGCTTTGCTTCCCCCCCCCCCCCCCCCACACTCCTTCTTCTCTTTCTTTGTTTGTCTGTTGATAACCAAAGGCCAGAAACAGAACTCAAGGACAGTGTTGCTGCAAGAAAAGTTCAGAAGGCTGACCGTGAGAAATTGAGGAGGGATCGTCTAAACGAGCAGTTTTTGGAGTTGGGAAAAGTGCTAGGTAGAACGACATGTCCTCCATATTTAATTACAATATGTTCTTGCAAGTAAACTTTTGTTTTCTATTGTGTGAACTTTTTTTTAAAATTTATTTTTAGTAAAGAAAGTTGAACGTAAAATAAAAGTTTCAATCCTCTTAAATATGGAAAATTATTATACTTTTTTTTATTCTGGGACACCTAGGCAAGGAAGTAGATTGCTTTGAATTTGAATCATATCTGAACAAATGACAAGGCTTCTTGATCACACAATTCCTAGTTTTGAGTTCATCTTCTATACTACTTGAAAACTGCATGTATCTACCTTGTATGATTGCTGCTGAGCAGTAGTGTGGTAGCAGTGAGTAAGACTTGTGACTCCTCGAAGAATGTATCATACCTACCAATTGCATATGACCCCTGAGGTCTGCCATGGGCACAATAGTTAGGTGAAAAAGCTCTAGATCGTCAAACCTTAGTTGCAGGAATTGTCCTAACAGGTGACGAATCTTCCTAAGAAACGCGATTCTGCGTTTCTTAGAAAGAAACGTGTAGGAATCGCGTTTCCGTAGAGAGAGAAATGCGATCCTAGCCAAGATGGGGTCGTTGGTGAAGAAGAACAAAAACCCTAGCTTGTTGGTGTCAGATACGGCGAGGAGAGAGAGACAGAGGAGAGAGTGTGTGAAGGAAGAGAGTGAGAAGACAAACCTTTGTCGAACCTCCAGTCGTCTTCGCCCTCGCGATCTGCTCGCGATCGCCTTCGATTGTCATCGCCATGGCCATCGCGATCGTGCTCACCTCCTGCTGCTTCTTCTTCTTCTTTCTCTCTCTCTCTCTCTTTCTTGTCGATCTGCGTCGTCTTCCCCCTCCCATTTCTAACATATAATAAATTATATAAATAATATAATTTGTTATATAATAATATAATAAATCTAATTAAATCAAATATAATAAAAAAAATTTAATAAAATTTATAAAATAAATCATTATTTTACTATTTTTTATTATTTTACTATTTTTTAACATATTTTATTATTTTACTGTTTTTTATTTATAATATATATCAATTAAAAATTAAAAATATATATAAATAAATTAAAAATATTATCTATAAAAATAATATCTAAGTTAAAAATAATAAATATATTTTAGAAATAACTATTAAAAATATATATATATATATATTATAGCTTCCCGAGGCGCTCCCAACCTAAGAAACTTCTATCAGCTCACGCTTCCCCGCTCCCGCTCCCGCTCCCGCTTCAGCTTCATGCAACTAAGCGTCAAACTAAGGGAGATTCCACCTGTTGATGGTTGATCTGTCCCTCCCCCACGGTTTGACTCACCTATATAAAGGGGCTCCATGCATATGTTGAGGATCTTCTACCACCTTCTCCCCCTCCAGCAGGAGTAAAAGACATCTCCACTGCCATCCTCTCTCTCACCTAGCATTGCTTTAGCTCTTAACCCTCCACCTTCGGTGGTCCTGTGCCATCTCAATGCCTGCTATTTTCTGATAGTGCTACCTCCTTGCCATTTCACCATCTTCCACCCACAGCCCCTATTCGCACCTTTTTTATTTATATTTTATTTACTTATAAAAAAAGCCTTGAAGTTGTAAACAGAGTCATAAAGCTTAAAAAATGCTGTTACAAGGATAGTATAATTTCCATTTATATATGTGTCTACCACACCTAAAAAAATTATGAAGTCTACAATTTATTAGAGTTGACTTTTAAAATTTAATGACTCATATAATGGTTTCATACAATAATGTTATGATAATCGTATTTTCTTATCATATTTTGTTTACCATTTTATATATCGATTCTACATTAGTATCAAGCATGAGCGGTTAAGGTAATAAACAAATTGTGGTAAAAAAAAATATGATCATCCTAATATTATATCAAAATTTAATGTGGTGCATGTTAAAAGGTTATTGGTAGTCACATGAGTGACTAATCTCTTATAATTTTATTAGTTCAATTGACCTCTATTAAGTAATATTTAATAATTATTTAATCAAATGAAACTGGAGCCGATCCATCGGCAACTTGGTGAGATCTGCTGCATGACTTTCTTTGGCAATCTGGCCCCCTCACTGAATGAATCCTGGCTCTGCCCCTGCTTCAGTGGCTTAGCACCAGTTCTAAGATGAGCCCCTTTAATTGGATGTTTAGGAAGATTAGGAATCACTTGATTTTGGATGACAAAAATTCTTGATTGTACTGCTCTCGTAAGTCATAATCAACAAGTGTATGGTTTATTCAATTCTGGTAACTTCCACCTGCTGTTAGCTGAAGTGATATATCATATAACCATGTGTAAGGTAGAATTATCTAGTGGGATGTAGGTGTGCATCTATTTTAATTTTAAAAATCTTTCTTAGTCATTGGAAGGAATTTTATTTGCTCCCTGTTATTGTCATGAATGTATTCATTCAAAAGATACAAGTTGAAGTTTTGACTGAATCTGTGAAAAAAGATTAAATATGGTATTATGTCTAAACTATTGAGTTAGAATGTTTGACCAGTTCTATTGGACCCATCTTTTGTGTGATATTCAGTCCCACCTCACATAATTTTTCTGTAAATTTGCACTTAGTGTTGTCAAATTGAATAACCATAAAAATGCAGATCCTGATAGACCCAAAAATGACAAAGGATCCATTCTCACTGATACCATCCAAATGGCGAAGGATTTGACTGATCAAGTCAACAGACTGAAAGCTGAGTATTCTACACTGACCGAAGAATCTCGTGAGGTGATTTTTAATTTATTTATTTATTTTTATAACAATTCTGAAATGCTGTGGGGCCCATTTGATATAATATTTATTAGTTTTTATTTTATTTTAAAGCAGTTGACTCAGGAAAAGAATGATCTCAGAGAAGAAAAGGCATCTCTTAAATCTGATATCGAGAACCTCAATGCTCAGTATCAGCAGAGACTCAGGGCTACGTTTCCGTGGGCAGCTATTGACCATTCAGTTGTCATGCACCCTCCTTCATATCCCATGCCAGTTCCAATGCCAGTGCCAATAGCTCCTGGGTCAATTCCTATGCATCCATCATTGCAGCCGTACCCCTTCTTTGGGAATCAAAATCATGGTGTTATTCCTAACCCCTGTTCAACTTTTGTTCCATATGTGACTCCTAATACCATGATTGAACAACAAACCACCCAGTATGTATCTCCAGCCATGCAGCCAGGTACTAGGTCACATATTTCGAGCAAACAAGATTCAAGAACCAAGCCATCTGATCATCAAGGGGAAAGCAAGATCGAAAAAGGTGAGGCCTCTAATGATGTTACAACAGACCTGGAGCTCAAGACACCTGGATCTACAGCAGATGAGGTCAGTGACTCAATTGTGGCCTTGTAGGTTAATTAATTTGTAGGACAATTTTGTAGAAATAATCATCATATTATGATATGGTTGGAAGTTTAAACAAGGACAGATTAATATTTTTTTTAAAAGAAGATAAATTACACCTTCTACCCTCAAACTTTCACCAGAATTGCACCTTCTAATTGCAACAACTAAGTCCTTAGACTTCAGTTTGTGTTTCGATGTGGTCCTCTTGTTACTTACTGTTAACATTTGAACATGAGCACATTTCATGGGTAGGAAAAAAATTTCTATAGAAAGTTACAGTTTCTCCCACTTTCACTCAAATTATACTTTAGCCTTTCCTGTTTCAACTTTTACTCAAATTTCAAATGGTGGTGTGATGGGAGGAACTAAATTTTGAAGTCTGAGGATCAGTTGAAGTCTGAGAACTTAATTGTTGCAATTAGAAGATGAGGTGTTAAAGTGAAATTTGGGTGAAAGTTCGAGGGTGAAAAGTGTAATTTATCCTTAAAAAAATGCCTAACCTCACGCTTGTCGTTGGATGCTATGCTAGCACTCAAAATAATTTTTTCACTTGTAAGAAAAGAAAAAAAAAAGAAGGAAGTGCATCGTGTGAAATCCTTTGCTTGATGTGTTCAGAATTCATTCCCTGATTTGCAGGGTTCTAAATGTGGACAAAGAAAATCTAAGAAATCACTGAGGAAGGAAAACAACCTCACAGATGGGAGCTCCTCGAGTAGGTGTTCGTCATCTCGTAGCATACAGGATAGCTCATCAAATAGTGTAGTTGGTGGTGGGAAAGCTGATGACGACTAAAGAAAGGATAAATGAGAAAATCCCCATTTTCTGCATCTTTTTGGTCATCTACTGTTGCTAGCATCTCAAGTAGCATTTCCCGTGATTTTGGTCTACCTCTGAGGTGAAACACTATATTACGGTGACAGAATACTTGAGCTGTATGTGACTATGAAATTAGTTATTTGTCAGGCAACGAGTGATTAGGCTGTGAGGTTAGCAGCTGGGGTATATGCTTCATCATCTTCTTTTTCAGGTGGAGAAATGCTTGTAGTTGTGTTAGGTGGTCCTCTAAATTCAAAATGATTAGTTGCAAGGAAGTAAGGTTAGGAGGGTTAGTTTTATCTTTGTATGTAATGACATTAGTTGATGGTACGGTGAAACTAGGACCCTGTGTCACATAGAAGACCGAGCTTTACTCTTTTTTTGTTGTGAGGTTGGTATCTCTTTGACTAGTAGATATATTGAGTAGACATGTGAGAATAACTAAAGCATTCATGCATTTTTGATCTTGCTGAAAATGCATGTTCAACAACAATAGGATGTGGTTTGGTGATTGATGCTTAGGTTTTGTGACATTCTCATTCTCATTCCGAAGAAGGGTAACAATTTTGGCTAGACTTTCACGACTTTAAAACATGTTATTAGAAAGGGATATGGACTATTTATAGAGGTTATAAATTTTTCGGCCTAACCAATGTGGGAAACAAAATGCTACTGGTTTGATGCCTCACCGTGTGGATTACCTTGGCAACAATTTTTAGGCTGTATGGTGTTTGATGCTTCAGCTTTGACATTTATTTTATTTTTTATTTTTATATATAAATTTTTGTTATCAATTTTTTTGATTACTTTCATATTACATGCTATATTTGGTGGGAGTGGCCCCAATGTAACGACGTTATCTGATAATCTGTTGAAACATTATTGGCGGCCATTGCATTCTCCATCATCAGATGCAACTAAAATCCAAGGCGGTTGAAGATGCCACCTTCGTCTGTTTTGATTTGGTTCCGCATTCATATGCACTAACATTAAAAAACAAAAAATGAGGTGGTTAATGTGATCCCAGTACATTTTAAATTGAATTTAATGTTGCGTTTAGATTATAAATCTAACTATAAATTTGGAAAAAAAAAAAAGAAATAGAGAAAAAGTTCTTATATTTCATTTATATTTTGTTTTGCCGTTTCCTTTCTATTTATAAATTTATGTCTAAATTTATTATTCAAATACAGTCTAATCATATGATTAATGATTTTAATTCTAGCCTAAGTTAATTTTTACATATTTTTTTTTTGTTCTTTGAACACGTACCATAATCTCAGCAGTACACTTTTTTCTTTAGACCCCCCCTGCCGATCCCTTTCTTCAATAACCCCTCATCCCTCCACCGCTGGCAACTTTTTCCTTGATCCCTATACTTCCCACAACTCCCAGCCGCCGCTCATTTCCTCACAACCTTGGACATAGAGAAAAGAAGAGATAAAGAAATTGGACATAGATAGAGGGTCAGGGTGGGGAGTGGCTGAGGGGTGCTGGAGAGAGGCTAGCGATGGATGGGGGTTTGTAAGGATGGGCTGGGACGGGAAAGGTGAGAGTTGGGGAAGGTTGTCGAAGCTGGGGATGGGCGAAGGAGGGTTGTGGCTAGAGCTTGTAAGTGGGGTAGATTAGTGTTAAGGTTTGAGAGATTAAGAATGATGGAAAAGCTGAAATGATGGAGTAAAACTGTAATACAAAAACATACAGAAGGGTGGGCGTTTAAAGAAAAAAATGAGGTACTACGAACAACATTCATTTTAGAAAAGTGCTTGTTTGCACAGGCGAAGATTATGTTCTTCTTGAGGGATCAGGAGAAGACTCAAGCTATTCAGAAGTGGAAGGTTCCAAGCAACATGTCTGAGCTTCATTTTCATATTGCTTGTTTGACATTCAATTTTGCTTATTAGTTAGTTATTGTGTTTGTTGGGAGTCACTTTTAGAGTCACGGATCGTATTGGCAGATTAGTTTGAGCGTTGGACTAAAGATCATACGTCTGTTACTCTTTTTGCAAAGTTATGATAATATAGTTCACGATTTTTATCCATTTTCTATGAAAATTAACCATAATTGTAAAATTACCACCCCCCCCCCCGCGCCGATTTCAAAAACCTTACCTACTATAGTAGTATTAGTTAATGATTATCTCCAAATTGTATAGACTCACCTCCTATTATTTTTAAAACTTTTAAGTGGTCACCCCCTCTAAGGTTTTGTAAATTTTAATTGGCCACTCCACTATATCTATAGAACATGGGTGTCGAAATATGAAATTAAGAGTTTTGGACTATTTAACCCCCAAATAAAAATAAAAATAAAAATTTCTTATAGCATTTTTGTCAAATTTAGTTATTTTCATTGTTTAGCTACGTCAAACTAACTATCAAGTTATTCATTTTAGTTTTGGTAGTTTAACTCAACAAATGTAGCTCGTGGTTTTACCTAATTAAACATTAAAAAATATAACTTTTCATATTTTGAAATTAATTGTTCAATTAAAATAGATACAAATAATATTTAAATAATATAGAAAAATAATAAAGAGTTTGTTGGACAATTTATTTTAAAAAGTCTATAGCCAAAATAGAAAAAGTAACTTTTAAGTCAAAATATAACAAAATTTTAACTAGTTTTATAGAAATATTCTTATACCCTGTGTCAACTAGAAGTCTTAATCTGCAAGAAGAGAAGGCGGTGGAAGAAGATTGAACAAGTGACTTGATAAAAATTATTGAGAAACATATAGTTTGAAATTTTAATTCGATTCTATCATAGATGTCATAAATAACATGGAAGATTGTCTAGCATAACTCAAGGTATCTTACCTTAGTAAATAGATTATTTTACAGTTATTATCTTTTATAACTCAACATAGATACAATAAAATATATTTTTTTTATAAATGCTTTTATATTATTTTTTACTTTTTATACAAGTATAAATTATTATTATAATCTATATTAATATGTATATTCGCCCTTCCTGTGTTAGAATCATGGTCTGTCATTATAAATAAAGATGTTCGTCATTCTATAATTGCATATGGATTTTAATCTGACGGTCAATACAAACAAAGCAAAGGTTAGGTGAATTACATCAAACGACCTTGATCCAAACAAGTTAGGTGGAACCACCTACTGTTGTGCTAAATTGTCCTCCAAAGGTAAGCTGTACATGATCAATGATTTGATCACCTTGCCAACAAATATTTTTAGGGAAAAACACCAATAAATCCCAAATATAGATGTGTTGAACCATTTAGTCCAATCTTTTAATTTCTAGATCAAATAGTCTCATTTAAATATTAATTACGTTGGAGCCCATAATTTTTGAACATGACTTGTTTGGGTAATTCTATTTCCACACACCGAAATATCTCACTCCACATCCTTTCTCAATACACGCACCAACTAATTTTAAATTTTGTAATTTTACTCGATGCACAATCTTTTTTGTCAAAAATATCCATCTCTTTAACATTGAAACCCTAAACCAACACCTATTGTCATCCATCTCCTATTGCCATCCATGACCATGCATCGACGATGGCGGCAGCTCTGAGTTACCCCTTTTCAACCCCCTTCTACCACTGTCACCGCCTCCGCCATTCCCTCTACCCTCCGCTAGTCATTCTCTAGACTAAAAAAAAAGTCCAAACTTTGAACATCAAAACCTCACGCAGACATATATACAAACACATATCTTTTTATTTTTATGTTTGTTAATCTATTTAGTTCTTCCTTGGCTCATGGAAATTAAGACGTCTTATGCAAATTTCTATCTACTAATTATTTTGTGTGCTTTTTAAACCTTTGATCCAGGAATAACTTAGTATGCTATTTTTCTATATTTTTTTCGGTCAAAAAATTGGGAATTTTTCAATCCAACTATAATACACTTTATCAAAATCAGGGGTGTCAACTCTGAATTGGTTTTGTTTTCTTTCTAGGCAGAAGAATTCAAATGGTAAACAAGTGAAAATATTCGAATCAAGAGATGAAAATAGTGGCTCAAAATCTGAAGTTGAAGCAAACCTGCTGAGCAAAGCACAAACCCTTCTAAGCCTCCTAAGGTTAGGGTTAAGAAATTAGGGTTTTAGTGGAGAAGATAAGGACACTTCAGTAATTTTATTTTAGAACAAAACTGTAATAAAAAAATAAATCATTAAGTATGTACACAGAGGTAAATAGGTGTGTGAAAATAGAATTTCCCCTTGTTTTTATTCGGGGATAGATGTGGGGTTTTTGTAATGTTGGAGTTACGAAATTACCCAAAAGTGTATTATAGCGTTTTTTTGGTTTCCCTCCATTCCGAAAAAAATGGACGAGATAGAATAGAAGGTTCTGGGTTAGTATTGCAATGTTAGTGATTAGATCCTCATATTGGGTGATTGAAGATTTTTTTTTGGCAATGTTTGTAGTTGAATATTGATTTGAGAAATAACGTTGTACATTACCCACAGAAACCCAAGACCCTAAAACCCCTAGTAGCACATTTGAGGAGACGATTCAGCGTTTGTATTCAAGATTCAAGGCTTTTTGTTGTCCATATTGCTAGAACATTCACGAGCTAAGAACATTCGTCAGCAGCGTTCGTGTGGCTGTTGTGCGATGGCAACATGTATGGTAATGTTCGAAGTAGATTTATCTGTGTGTGAGTTAATCCAACATCGTGCTTTTGTTATGTGTGAAATGGTGGGGTTGTTTGCTGGTTTTTTATGATGTTAATTTATAATCAATTCTAATAGGAAAGGTAATTATTTTTTTGGGGATATGAGGTGAGATGTTGTGTTCATGGAGTAAATGGGTTATAATGTAAATGTAATTGGTCTTTATGATACTCTGTGTTAGGGGATTGTGGTGTTTGATGTTAATTGTCAGTTTAGGTGTTTTGGTAATGTATATATATTGTTGGGTTGGTCTCTGTGGTTTTTGTGTTGTGTGAATGTGATGTTGATGTTGGAGTTAGTTTTTGGGTTGTGTGATTGTGTGAATGTGATGTTAGTGGCTAATGTTTTGTTGGTTTAATGCTGGAATGTGGACATGGTGTGGGTAGTGTTGCTTGTGGTGTGTGGGGTTAATGTGTGGATGATGTGGTTGGTGTTGATTGGTAGTGTTATATGGGTTGGTGGCACGTATGTGCCGTTGTGTGCTGTGGGAAGCTGGCGACTTTGTTTGAATACGTTGACTGTTGAAGTGCACAGTGTACGTCACACCATTACATATGACACACACCAGAAACCCACAACATTGGTTAATTGAATTACTGCAATCCTGAATATAAATTGCGAATTTGATATGTAAAGGGCACTCCCTAATATAGTAATAAATCAAAAAAATGTATGGAAAAGAATGTTGCATACTGACACATCGTAACAAGCTTGAACGGAGAATGATTGGTGACTATCTGTTTTACTATTGTATGTTAATGTTTATGCCTAAATTAGAAAATGGTATGTTATGTAATTGTAACTGACTACATTGTGGTATTCTTGGTTTTGTTGTTATAATGTACTTTACGGTTGCGGCAAAATTGTTGGGATACTTATTTGCAAAATGCACGATACGATATTGAGTGAATGTGTATGTATAACACGTGGGAATATGTCGGTTAGTGATAACAAAATGAGATCGAAAATCAAAAAACTGGGCAATAAGTTATGATTAACATTGTGTACGCATAGGATGCGTGGATGATGGTCATAGGTGTAATTTTTTTTGTGGTTTGCTTTTGTGGCACATACGTGTCATAGTGTGATGGGTTATGTCAGTGAGTATGTTATCGCGTAATAGAGTTTTCGTATGTGCTGAGTAAATTGGCTACTGAATTGCATGGTGTAATAAGAAGCATTAATGCTGTTATGTTTTTTTATGTACAGATAGGTCCAGCAGTTAACTTGGAGGGCATAAACGGAATAGGAGTACACCACATTCACGTTCCACACCACAGAGTTCCACTCGATTGGCCACGAGAAGGCAAGGGAAGCTACCTTTCAAAAAGGCAAAGACAGCGACCAGATCTATCAGGAAACCTGTTGTTAACCCCTCAAAGTTGATATACCGCTCCAATATTGCCGGGGTGATCAAAATGGTGCTGGAGTTCAATTTCGGTACAGGCCATATAAAGCAATTGCAAAAAACACCGTTCTGACTAATGGTTGAGGCAATCCGAGTTCCTAATTTGGATCTGAAAGCATACAAAAAATGTGATGCAACAGTCTGCTGAATTATCCAGACATACAACCCGACGGATGAGAAATTCCACATTGGGGGAAAAGGGTTACCACTGTGAAACAGTGACATCCGCTTGTTGTTTGGAATACAATATGGGAAGGAGAATTTGGACGTGGCACAAATTGGTAAAGCTCCGTCAGATTTCATTCAATGGCTCTGCCCTAACACAAGTCACATCTCATCGAAAGTTATAACTTATGGTGGTGATGCGTGGAAACACTGAACGTAACGAAGAGGATGTCGCGAAACTAGTCTATTTGTATGTATGTGCAAAATTATTTTTTGCTCATACGGGTGAGTCGATCTGTTGGGCGTATGTGCGTGTAATTGACAAATTGGATACGTTACACTTGTACGATTGGATTGGCATGATCAGGAGCACGTTGATTAGTTCTTTGAATGAGTTACACAACAGGCCAAAAAATGTTACCGGGTGTGTCATTGCTCTATTGGTACGTTGATGATCAATTGAATAACCAATAAACATAAACTGTGTACAATGGGGTAATGTATTATTTTTGTAACCCTTCAATTGTTATTATTTATTTATTTTATTTTATTGTGTTTGTAGTTCCTTATTTATGAGCACACCAACATTGTGGAACCTGATCGGCACAATGTGTTCCCAACGTTTTGTCGGTGGAACATCGGCAAGCTTGTTGGGAAACTCAAAGGTGTGGACTTGTTGGTGGATGGTTCCATGGAGGTATGAGTTATGAATTGGTGGTTCTATGTTGTATATGTTTGATTTATTTGGTTTTTTTGATTTATTTGAGATGTCGTTTGCAGGTTAACTGTGGAAAAATTTGTGGGACTATAATCGAACGGTATTTTGTGGAAGTCACACCGAACGGCCATGTGCCTATCAAGCGTGATGAGAAGGTGTTAGATGTTGATCCGGTGAATGTATGGGATGGGCAGCGTGGTGTTATGGACAGGGAAGATATGAATGTGGTGGAGCTGAGTTTTAATTGTTGGCAACCAGATTCGCCAAATGGCGGTGAGGTTGAAATGTCATTGGACAATAACAATGAAACAATGCCCAAAGCGCAGCCATATAGTAACGTCAAAGATTGTGGGAAGATGTTATCATCGGGGGAGTCATGGCCTGTGTTGTTCCTCGATCTCCTAGACCTATCAAGCACACAACATGGCATAACCGGTGGTAACAACCCAGAAGATACAACAGAGTAACTAGATAAGGCTATGAAAAAAATTAATGAGTTGGAGGGTGAGGTTCAGGTGAAGACTGCACGTGTCCGTGAACTGGATAATAAGGTTGAATCCATGGAACGTTTGATTGGTTCCTAAACAAGCAACACGTTTATCGACTTTGAAAATGTGATTGGGCCGAAGGATGCTGAAATAGCTCGTCTAAACACGCTAGTTGCACAGCTGAAAAACAAAATAACAACATTGGAGGACGAGGTTGATGACCATGAAGTTCACATAGTGACCCAACTAGTTATGGGTGGAAGCATGAGCCGAAGGACGGCATCGGATAATTGGTTGGGGAGAAATAATGGGTCAGGAAATGACACAAGTAGCGAAAGTGTGCAACATTCTCTTTCGGGCGGGGACAAAAGCATCCCAACTGTTCAAAATAAGACAGATTCTGTTGATGATATGGGTTGGGTTAGAGATGCTAGTGCGAGATGTGTTGGCGTTTGCATCAGTGATCGAGATACGATGGTAAACAACATTGTGGTATCTCATGGTCCTGTCATGTTAGATGACAATTGTGGGGTACGAACTGGGAAAAGAAGAATTTGCAGCCCCAGACAGGATTAACGTCATTGAATAGACGCGTGAAGAACAAAACACGCCGCGAATTCCGATTAGCCAATTACGAGTATCCTGTGGTGGGTGGACGTAAGAAACAAAATTACAAAATGACGACCGGGAAAGAAATAGAGCCCAAAGTATTCTACGCCGTAGACGATGTTGGGTTTGAAAGTAAGACATGGCACGGATTTGGAATAAACAAGAAACATGCTATGCGGAACATGTTAGAAAACGACGAGATGAAGGTTTTGGAGAAAGTGTACAGTTTAGATGGGGACGAGTAATTGTTATTGTTGTTATTGCATGTAACTGTCAACTGTTTGTTTGCCCAGTTGGTGTAACATTTACGGTTTACATTTTGTTAACACATTGCACAATTGATTGTAGGTCAGTAATCTGGGATGGTGGTGACATAGGTGTGCAAGTTATATTCACGGATGTTTGTGATTTGGTGCAGCAGTCGTCAATTCAGGGCAATGTAAATAAGATGTTGATTGTGTTATAAATGTGGGTGGGTGTGGGTGTGGGTGTGGGTGTGGGTGTGTAAATTTTTTCATGGTGGCAAGTTTTTTAGTGTTGTTTCAGTTCACATTAGGAGTGGTGTCGTCAAATTCTGTAGGTAATTGACGCATATGCATACTAATAGATTTGCAAAAGAACACAGTTGAAGGAATCGAGAATGATGGCACGTCATATGTGTACAGTAGCGGGTGTTTGGTATGTTCTTTTAATTTGAACAAACAAATTGATTCACACCTGTTCCTACTCAATCTATGTTATGTATGTACTAATGTGGTATCGGCTTGGCGATGATGTTTGAAATTGTGGCAGGATGTGATGAGGAACTGGAGTGCTCTTTTGCGGACAAAGTATTTGAAAGCCGCAAAAGGTCACATATACACACATTACTCAGTATATCATTCTAACCATTGGATTATCATGGTGCACGACTCGGAGACCGACACTTGGAAACACTATGGCCTTGTTTGGTTTGTTTTTCAGAAAAATTTTTGGGAAAAATTTTCTGCAAACAAATTTTCAAGAGTAATCAAACCAAACAAATTTTTTCAAAAAAAATCTCAAAATTTTGTTTGGTTACCTACTTTCCAAAATCACTCTCTCTCTTATACACATCAAATCAATCATTTTTTTAAAAAACTCTTTCCCCAAAACAATTTTCCAAAACTATTTTTGAAAAAAGGCAAACCAAATAAGTTTTCGTACTGTTTATCTTAAAAACTACTCTACAAACACAAACCAAACACACCCTATAACTCTATGAGACCGAGACGAGAGATGCAGGATGACCATTATAACGAAGCACTGAAAGTGGTAAGAATATGACGTAAATTAACGTGTAAACGCATATTAATGGTTTATTATTCATATCACGTCAGCAGGCGAGGTGAACTGTATTCCCCGTGTGCGTATGGTGTTGTGGGATGTGGGATGTGGGTTTGTGGTATGTGATGTGTGTTATGGTTTAATGTATATATGTCATTAATTTTGCAAAAACAGTGGGTGGTGGAGCACTACACAAGTTTTGTGAAACCTATGATTGCATCTAATAATGTGAAAACTCTAGAGTTTGATGGGCCACTTGTTTCGGTCATCGACTACCCACAATAGAGTCCCGATACGTAAGTGATAACTATAGTTTTGTTCAACATTTCATTATTCCCCATAAAACTGTAGTTGATTTTGTATTTTCCTGGTTACATTGCAGGCCGGATTATGCTATTTTTGTTTGTTACGTCATGAGACAATACATCCACGGAGTTGAAATTGACATTACGATGGGTGGTTTGACTCCATGCGATCTACGTGCAGTAATAGTGAAGATGTTTTTGAATGATCCGATAAGAGGATTATGTGCTAGAATGGATTAATGTCACTGTCCCACACATTCCAGACCTTTACGCTCATTAAGCTTTGAACTGAAAATCTATTTTTTTTTTTATTTCTTATTTAGTGGTTAGGTATATGGAACTGGCATGATTTTGGGTTACTTTGGTTTTTAACAAATTACGTTGATTTAGATTTAGTGTTTTCTTGTTCTGTAAAGTGAGGGATGTTAGTTTTATGGCTAAATTCGATATCGATGTTTGGTCACGTATGATATTTTTTTGGGAATAATAGATAGTGAATTTAATGTAAATGTGTGTGCACTGATGAAATCAATTGCGATGCATAATATGATTGCGCTTGTTGATTCGTAACGAAGTCCATAATGTGGTCGCTTGTTGGAATCATATACACAACTATGTATACGATAGTGAACTGGCCCATATAGGAATATGTTGTGTTGGGGGTCACCGTAAGTGGACAAATTTTACTTTGTTGTTATGTGAATTGCTGAATATAATTCGCCTTGTTGTTGTGTTTGACGCCCCATGCTGGTTTATTGTGATGTTATAATTATGGAAAAATTGGGGACGCGTGCACGACACCTACATACACTAATTTTGGTTATGACTAGTATGTGGCAGGGTTCATGGTAATTGTCACAATTGGTGGGGGTAATGTGTCATTGATCCATAATGTGATAGCACCTAATGGAACACCAACACATATGATTATTTAAACATACCATCACACTGGTGAAGAGAAAAATACATTCGTAATGTAATTGACTACAAAAATCATAACACATGAAATGGTGATGACATAGAAGGGATTACGTAATCCAAAAGTTAGTGAAACCATGGTGTCCTTGTGGGATATGTTGGGACAAATTGTCAACAAGATACATAGTTGTGCCGAAGTAACATACTTAATTTGAAAACACAACAACAAATATGAATTGCGTAAAAGGTGTAGGTATTACGTAAAGGCGACGTATCAAATGTAAATGTCATAAATAGATAAAATTTTCATAGTGATGTAATAATATCAGATGTAACGATGACATTACAATAGGGAATGTAGATGAACATGTTCAACGAGTTACTATAGGTAACTTTTATTTGTGAATTAACCATATTTGCAGATGAAAAATATGGTGCACTACATCTGTTCCCTGCATGTTTTTCTGTTGTGATAGCCCATTTTGCCACATCGAATATGTTGAACAACCTCACATTTTGACGAAATTCGCTTACGTTTGGGCCGGCCAGGTGGTCGCTTATAAACCGGTGGCACAATGAGGTAATCTGACTTTGCGGATTTGGGTTTCTTAACGATAGGAATGGGGTGGATAGACCCAGAGTACACAACCTTATAGTTTGCCACGCGATAGAATGGTTCTACGAATTCGTAAATGTCCATGCCACTATTGCGAAAAGTGACAACTACATGGGAGCAAGGGAACCCATTCAATTGCCACTGAAAACACGAGCAGGAAAGCCTACCAACATCGACCAACACCGATGGGTGCGAATAAACCTCGAAGATGTCAACATCAGCTTGATTAACAATCTATGACCTACTGTCTTCAAACGCAGAAACCAAACTCTTTTCCATTTTTGGACAAAGTTCGCCAACCCAATCACGAGATTTAGCTTATCGCTTCAACATTTGTTCCGACATTTGTTCCATGATTTTTTGCCTAATTGCATCAACCAACTGAGTGATGGGCAGATGATGAGCTTCTCGAATCTAGTTTGTTGAATGATTCAACAGCGTTGGTGTCACGACCCAAACCCGGCCCTATGGGTTTAGCACCGTAACCGGCCAGTAATCCGAGATTACCGAAGGCCTGCAGAACAGTAATACAGTATTTACAATCATTCAGACTAGGGACTCGACCCTAGATAACAGTACAGTAACACTCGGTCTATACAGAACAGTAAAACAGTACAGAAGGGGGAAAAACAAACAAAACCCCCCCAAGCCATAGCATGGCAACTCGGAACCTCGCAGTGAGGCACAAAGGCTGGCTTGACAAAACTGGAGTAACCCTGACGCCTCTAGCTGCGGTCTGGTGCCTGAACACCTACATATATATATGAGCAGTGAGCTAAAGCCCAGTGAATAACATAAAGCGTAAAGGGGTTTAGAATGAATGTCCTTACAGTATGAAAACAGTTCATTTCAATCAGTAATTCAGTTGCTCAGTACAGTAAACAGTCATATGTGGTACATCCATTAGAATATCAGTAACAGTAGGTCTTAAAAGACCGAACAGTAATGATGGCCATCAGTCAGTAAACAGTAGTCGTTCCACGAGGGAACCGACAGAGATCTCTGTAACAGTAACAATACAGTAAACCGTAGGTACTAAGGATGCCACAATACAGTTCAGAAATAAAGGACATACATTCACTCAGTAATACCAGTTCAGTAAACAGTTCAGTTCAGTATTCAAAAGATAATCAGTTGAACATATCTTTACACACAGTTCACAGGTTGAACACACACTAAGCTACACAGTTGGGAAATGTCATAACTTAATCCCTAATTTGCCTTGGTGTGTTCTACAACGATATCCTCATCTAAATGTCTTAAACTAGGCCTAAGAATGCCTAGGATGGGATGAGGATGCAAAAATACACTTAGAAAACATTTTGCAAAGTTTGCTAAAAATAGGAGCTTCGCTCGAGCGAGACTTACTCCGCTCGAGCGTAAGTCCAAAATCAAAGGCTTCGCTCGAGCGAGTAATCCTTCGCTCGAGCGGTCTGCAAAACAGCAAAAAAATAATGGATGCTGAGATTTTACGCGCGATAGACGCTCGATGGTCGCTCGAGCGGAGCCCTGGACAAAGGTGCTCGCTCGAGCGGGGAATCCTTCGCTCGAGCGAGGAAGCCAAATCTGGAATTCCCAGATCTGCCTCCCAAGCTCAAACCAAGCATTCTACCACTCCAAACTCGACCTCTTGGGCCCAAATTCTGGAAAACATCACTAAATTCAATGTATAACAAGTTTCAAAGCTCAATTTATGAATTCAAGCCCCAAAGGTGAGTCAATTAAAACCATATTCAAACCCATTTTCAAGAATATGAAGAACATGCAAACATGCATGAATTCAAATCAATTCAAAGCTTCAATTTGATTCTCTAAGGAGCCAAATCTTTCAAAACATGATGAGTTCATGATCTCTTGTAAAAATATGAGCATGCATGTGACATTTTTGCCATGAAAACAACTCAAAACTCAACCAAGAACACATGCAAGCATGGAATGAGCTTTAATTCAACATGTATGCACCAAAACATGGCTTAACTCTACCATTAAAGCATGAATGTGCAAGAACAACTCAAAACATGAACAAGAAGACAATGGAGCTAATGGCTTAACTCTACCATTAAAGCATGAATTGTGCAAGAACAACTCAAAACATGAACAAGAAGACAATGGAGCTACCTTAAGTCTTGTAGTTCAAGAAGGGAGCTCAAACATGCAATTTCTTCAACAATTTCTTCAATTAGCAAGTAAACCCAAGATGGAAGACAAGTTACAAGAACAATTCTCTCTCTCTCTAACTCTCCTCTCATGGTCAGCTAAGCTCAGGAGAAATGGCTGATAGAAA